TTTTCAGTCTACTTTCGAAAAAAAATAATTTCACGGAGAGACACACACACACCTCAACCGGCCAATTTGAGGTTTTTGGCCAACTGGCCATATCTCGGCCACTTTTCAACCGATTGTAATGATATTTTTTTTAACATTATCTACGCAGTCCCTAGATTCCGAATATGACCAAAAAAAATTCGAAAAAATCATTTTGGCGGTCAAAAATCGAGAAAAATGAATTTTCAGCGATTTTTTCAAAATGCCACCTGGCAGCCAAATTTTGAAATTTTTCAATTTTTTTTTGGGGATTCTTAATTTGGTGCCCGAGCACTACTAAAATATGCAAAAGCCCCAAAAGTCAGCGGTTTAGATTTTCATGGCTTTAACGTATATATGGCAAAATATACATATTTCATATGTATGTGGGTATTGCGTCACTTGGGGGACAGCCGTCCCTCGTGATTTCTGATATTTAATAAAATATATTTTTAAGAGTTTGTTTCTTAGCATATTATATAAAATCGATCACGATTTGTATCAAATTCAGCACTATAGTGTACGCTGTAAAATGCGTTAAATTTCATTTTTGAAAGAAAAAAGTTTTGTTTGATTGAATTTCTTTTTATATAAAATTTTTATTCATATAGCTATCATTTCCCAATGAAATCACATATATTTTTTATTTCTAATATTCATTGAAATATAACTACAGCAGTTTATTTGGTAACATATAGTTATTATATAAAACAGGCCATTGATTAACATTTGTACCAAATTCAACACTTAAGTGTACCGTATTTTAAATAATTTAAATTAAATTACATTTTTAAAGAGACAAACAAATATTTATAGACCAATTATACCTTTCAGTGTTAACGAAATGACTACACTCGAATTTCACTCAAAATTTCTCTATCGAGAGCTAGGCCATGAGTTTCTATACACCAATTATAACCTGTAACATCCAAATAACGCTAAACTGAATCCAAATAACATCTACGGGGGTTTCTTCTATTTTTTCAGCATACCAGATCTTCTTCGGCAAACGTAACTCATTCATACGTTGGACATGATCAAACCATCTAAGTCTCGACTTTCTTTCAACTTTCTTTCTACTTTTTTACTTCTTAAGTTGAAAAGGTATCGTCAATTATATAATCAATAAATTGTAAACGCAAATGTCTAATACATAAATTTCAAAAATAAAGCAGAAAATATTTAAAATTCGAGTGAAGCCTGATTAATGATTTGAATAAATTTCTATTCTGAGAATTGCTTTCAACAACAATCATGTCGTTCTTTCGAAGCTGATCGGCTTATTTCGATAAATCTCAAATTGGTGTCACCATGTCTGGTCCTCCATTTAGTAGCCAAGAAGACATCATCACACGTAGCTGGATACGATAGAAATCTGTCTTTTAGGTATAAATGTGATTTTGTTCAATTTCGGTGATCAACGAAAAAATGGCATCAAGTCAAAAAAAATTACAATTTAGCGATTTGCAAATAACAATCGCGTTCGTCCTGCAAAAAATGAAAAAAATCGTTGAATTCTAATATATCAAATTTTGGACCGTTGAACAACAAAAAATCTGAGGTAGTTGAAAATCTCTGTACATTTGGATTGAGTACGAAAAATTCATGTAGCTCTTCAATTCGAAATAAAGATTTTTTATTTTCAAAATGTAAAAAATTAAAATCTATTTATTTTTACTGTTTTATTTTAACAGTTTAACGCAGTTTAATCTATTCATTATGATTTCGCCAAACTGTGACGGCCATATTGTCACAAACTTCTATTAGTACTCGGAATTCGCATTAGAGGTGTTAGAGGTGTTGTTAGTATACCATGATCGAGCTTCGAATATACTACATGGGCTGATAAGTTCTTAGAATCGGACACTAGATGACGACACAAGTAAATATCCATCTCATTTTTAGGAAGAGCCATCCTTTTTAGGAATGCCAACGGAATTTGAGCCAAATCTATTCTTGGACTCGGAAATTACAACTGTTGGAAGGGACTAACCTCCAGTTTTTTCTTAAAATGCAAAACGAATCAAAATTCATTTGTTAAATAATTATAAATTTTTGTTTCTTATACCTATCAGTGAAACCAAAACCAAGCTAGATGGTATTGTTTGGACTGTCTACTATCGATTAGGGCCATTTAGAAGTAATCTATTGAGTTTGCATGTGGTCGTACAGACCGAAGTAATTATTGCCTCTAAAATGGTAGTTTTTGAAGAGATGCTTCAATAAATCCAAGATGTTGGCATGAAAAACTGCACTATTCGCGTGAATAATCTAGACTAGATCCCAAGCATTCCGTACAATAGTTTTGGAAATTTATTACTTCAACTTTTGGGTAAAAAAAATTCACTCGCAACGAGTTTCCGTATTTACCCAAAGTGGAATCAAGGGGCGACTTTATAGCGATGTTGAATGGATTTTATGCATTAATCAAATTGATATTTTTTATTTATTGTTAACTGCTGATGTCTGTTTGAATCCATTTAATGCATTATGAGGCAATATATGGTCCTGACAGTCACCAATTATACACATAACCTCAAAAGGTCAACAAATAGAATTTTTGGCTTTAGCTCGTATTCCTTGGAAGTGTATTGTTTTAAATATTGCTTTATCATCTTGAATGGGACGAAGCGATGCCAAAGAAATAATCCATGTCATTTTTGAACTTTTTGAATCGAGAAAATACTGTTTTTTTTTTCAAGAAAATGTATACTTTAAAATTATTATCAAAAACCGCCTCGGGAAGCCATACACACGGTGGCGAAATTCCACCAAGTTGAAAACGTATGAACTTCATATTTCTGGTGTGAACTGGTGGGACCTTTATCTATCCCCTGGAGAGAGAAATAGATTTGCATCCAGCCCGACCTTTGAAATAAAGACATGAAATGAAGAATTTGGTACGATTTTGAGGTAATGTTCCTTCTTGTGGTGTAACCTCTGATTCCATGAACAGATTTGGCTCAAATTCCGTTGGCTTCCTAAAAAGGATGGCTCTTCCTAAAAATGAGATGGATATTTACTTGTGTCGCCATCTAGTGTCCGATTCTAAGAACTTATCAGCCCATGTAGTATTTAGGAGTTTATTTCTTAACGTATGAAACCTCGCAAAAAGAGGTTTTTTATTCTGATTTTAGATAAACAAGCATACATACGACAAAACCAAACTCGACGTGTCCACCTTCTTAACATCAATTTAATGGTTTCTGTGTAATTCGTACTTTTTTTCATTCAACTCTCGTTTGAATATCGAGATTCCTTTTTATATGCCGAATTTGGAAAAAGGCTAAAATGAAACACATTCGACATTTTAACACTTTATTATATTTTTAGATTTTTATTGAAGCAATAAATTATTATAATTGTTTCTACAACTGTATATTAGTTTTAGCTAGGTTCTCGGAAGTATTTTTTATTCGTGAAAAACCATGCATATTCACGAATATCGGTCCATTTTGAGTAGGGAACAATAACTTCAGTTTATGTGAATATTCGTGAACAACATCATTATTCCTGATTATCGTAAATACGCAAAAGGGCGGCAAATGGTGCATGTCATTTAGTGGAACGTCATTTGTAAAATCACAAAGGCTTACTTTAAGAATATTAATTACACACTTTTGAAGTTCTTCACCCAAATTATTTTTTTTTGTTAAAGAAATATAAATTTTTAGCCCGAAAATTGTTTTTATGCAATAATAACATGATTATTAATTTTATTTTGTGTTGTGTGTGTGTGTTTCAAATCGCTGCTGTTTACGAGCAAAAATTACAAAAAACTACGATAATCACGAATATTTGTAATATTTGTCGCTATATACCAAATTCATACAAAACTGTGTTTATTTGTTGTTTTTTTTTCAAGTTCCGAGCCCCTAGAGTTTTAGAAAATCCAGGACACTCTAAATATAATTATTCAATAACTCTGCATCTTTTCGAACATAAAGTGAATGTGAAATTGTTCATTTCATCCGGATCCGGAATAAAAGGTAAAACTTTTACTTGAAGACTTCTACGGCCATTGGAAAAGTATAGCATCTATTTTATCTGTTACGATTGAAATTTTAGATAACCTATTGCCATATAAGAATGCATTTTAAATTCAATGCATAGACATACCATCATTGCTATGACTAACTCTTCCACTGTGAGTAAACACAATCCGAAAAGCTACCTTCAATTTCTATTTTTTAGCAAATTCAATTTTGGGCACATTTCTCAATAAGTTTGGACCGTATGTTTGCACAGATCTATAACTCCACCAATTATAAAAATATCTACCTGGATGGCGATGGTTTTGCACTGCACAGAGTGACGAATAGTAAGAAAAATATAGCAAAATAAAGTTTAAGATTCATTTTAATGTTTGATTTGTAATCAACAATTTTATAATGATGAATCATGGCTGTCACATTTGTTTATATACCATCACAGAGCATCAAAAATGACGATTTGGCTTGGCTTGGCTTGGGTATCAGGGTTGTGTTTGACTTAAATATCAGGATTGTCCGATGTCCTGTGAAAGATGTGTCTTGTACTGCCAATTATTGATGGCATCCCTCTACCATTGATAACATTACTACATTGTTTATGTTATATTTGAATTTTTAATCTTATCATGCACCAGCGTCTGTTTGATTAGTTTAATCATTATTGTTATATAAGGTTTGCTTGATCTCTAGAGACTCTCTAAATTAGTAGTATGAGAGCAAAATTTTTCAGGGGGTGTGATTTTGGAAAAAAGGGCTTTTGTTTCCACTCGGGGAAAAATGACTAATGGTAATGGTTTTTTAATTCAAATTATGTGTGCCAATCATGTGACAAAGAAACAAGAAAATTGAAAGAATCACAATCATATAGAAAAGACTGAGATCTACAATTACGTTATCAAAACCAAAGACCTAGAACAAAAACTTGCCCGATCACCTTTCTAGCACCTAATCGTTGTTCGTAATTTCAATAAATCATTCTCAAAATCAGAATTCACGTCAATTCTTCCTACAGGATAATTTATTGTCTTTATTTTGTTATCTTCTTCTTCCATTTTGAACAAACAATAAACTACTAGAAAGCATAAAAAAAAGTTCACAAACCAATTTTCGTTTGAAATGATGCTTATTTGTGTTTATTATATAAGCGCTTTTCATGTCAATTAATTTGTACAATTGAAAATTTTAAAGACGGGAATTATCCCCGTCAAACGTATTTACAATGTAAAAATTGGAACAATTAATTCAGTTTCATCATAATTCGTTTCAATTAAATTACCTAACAAAATGTTTTACATCAATTTATAATGATAAACGAAAAAAAAAATTACAAGCTAGGTTTTTTGGGACTTTTTGTCGATTGGTCACTTAAATCCAAATTACTTAATTTTTTCTGCAGACTTTCATCGCTCTGAAATGGGACAAAATGGTATACGAATTAATGAAAAATCAAATTGAAGAAAATGGAATGAAATCAAGTCTTACGGTTGACTCGAAGGTAGGCGTTTTTTCGGCGTCTAAAATATGCTTTTCATCGTCGAGTTTATTCAGATGTTCATCATCATGTGTCGAGTATGTGGATTTATTTTGTGACTGCCGTTGTTCACGCTCCTCTTTGCTCTTTTCCAATGCTTTTTGTATCTTTTCCTCGTTCTCCAGGTATTCCTCCTTGGTTATTAAATCTAATAATTCATCGATTTGCTTCGAATTCAATTTTATGTTTTCTGTTCCAATCGTTTCGAATATCTACAAATATTTAATAAAATTCATTTTTTTATTCAACGTTATTTTGCAATTTTTTTTCATTTGCTTGAATTTTATTTGGAAAATTTCAAAATTACCTTTAAAACGTCATCCACTTTCAATTGACCATCACGATCATCGTCGATTCTCTCCAAGAATGTCGATATTTGATCCATTTTCGAATGATCTGTGACTTTTTGCATCTGTAAAATAATTTTTGGCATAAGTAAAAAAAAATTCGAAACATTTAGAATATTTGAAAAAATTCAGACAATTTTCTTACAAAAATGTCGATTAAAAAATACTTTTGCAGAGAAATTTAAAGAAAAATCGGAATTTCATAAATAAAAAAAATTATTAGAAAAGAATGTTGGCCGATTCCAAAATAATTTGGTTAGTTTAAAGATTGAAGTTGCTGTCGGATTAAAATATTTATTGGGTGTATAAATTAATTTTGATCGCTGACAATTATATGTCGCCACTTAAAATTGTGTGTAGCTTGACAGGTGAATCCAATTGCATTTTGTACATGTGACATTTGCCAATCTAATTCAGAGCAGAAACATTTATTTTTGACTCAGTGTCATTATTTTCTGATCGATTCAAAATGAGTGATGAAAAAGTGTTTTTCTGTCTGGCCCTCCTTTGGTTAATTTTTTTCACTTTAAATAAAGTGAAAATACATCTAAAGATTATAAAATGTTGCAGGAGACGAGACCTCTCAATCGCCACAGAGAATGTTGAATTTGGTGAAAAAGAAGTGGTGAATTTGTTGAAAAACTGTGAACTCACCAAAAAAAAATTTGAATGATGGGCTATTGGCGTTTTTTATTCGATAAAGATGCATGAAAATGCATCAGAAAACATCAGAAGCATTAAATATATGCGAATCAATCGTTTTAAGACATTTGTAATGAGGTAAGACCAAAGAAATTGTGTGCCACACCAGCTGAATCCAAAACTTGTTGTAAGACGTTTTTTCACATTTTGGCACAATGTTCCAAAAATAAGAAAAAAAGAAATTTTTGTATCGTATTGCAACTGGAAGTGAAGAGGGCATCTGCTACGATAATCCCAGGCATACAAATAAGGGTTCAATCCCACACAATCGTCAAAATCGACAGCATAGCAGGATTTTGATGATTTCTCGGTAATGCTCATTATTTGGTGGGATTGAAGTGGTGTGGTGTATAATGAGCTGCTGAAACCGGGTGAAACTGTCACGGGGGATCGGTATCAACTACAACCAATACGTTTGAGCAGAGTACTGAGAGAAAAATGAAAAAAAACTGCGACAAGAAATAGTCGAAGGATTTCTCAAAATTTGACATATTTCAAACATCGTCAAACAAAAGATAGAGGCGTTCGGTTGGGATCGGCTTGATCACCCCCCGTACTCTCCAGACCTTGCTCCTTCTGATTATCACTTGTTTCGATCGATGCAAATGGGCTTGTCTGAGATATCGTTTGGAAATGCTGAAGGGGTGCGAAAATGGGTCGATCAATGGATAGCTGGAAAAGATGAGGAATTCTTTCGACGCGGAATCGACAAGCTACCAAGAAGATGGGCCGAAGTCATAGCTAACGATGGGCAGTACATTGGTTAATGTACTCATTCTTATTATTTTTAAATAAATGTTTCCTTTCACCAAAAAAACGATCAAAACTAATTTATACTGCCAATAGTTTCGAAAGTTTTTTTTTAAATTTCGTTAAACATAGTGAAATTGCATCAGAACTAAAAATCACTTGTCGTTGAAACTTTTCCTGACTCGGGGTATAATAGAAAAATCAATTTTGACCAAACTTTTCAATTTTTATCACCTTTTGCACAGCCTTCATAACTTCATCGATGCGAACAAGTTCATCTCCGGCTTTGTCTTCAACATTAACCGCCTGAATCTTTTCTTTCTCCAAATTGTGCATCACTTTGTCAAGTTTGCTAATCATAGCATCAACCTTCTTGAGTAATCTCTTGGCTGCCGCCGATTCGCGTACATTAATTTTAACGTCCGATTTTTCGGCAATTTCTTTAAGTTGTTCAACATCTTCTTTGTATTCGGCAATTTCTTCTTTGAGCTAAATTGAAGAAAAAAAACATATTTCAATATTGGCAAAAGCTAATTGGATAATGGTCAAAAATGTCATACCTCTTTAATTTCTTCCTTTTCGATGATCATATTTTTGCTATCCGAAACGGCGTCCAAAGCGTCCGACACCAGATCGATGTCTTTGTTGGTAATGTCATCGGTAATAACTTTGGCAGTGTCAAGCAAAACATCTTTATCCTTTTCGGTGCTGGCCGCCACTTCTTTAGCTTCTTCCAATTCTTCTTTGATTTTACGTTGTTCATCGCGAATGATTTCGATTTGTGTCTTATTATCGATTTTACCTTCACGTTCACCGATTGCCGCCCGTGTTTGAATTGCGGCTGCATCCGGCAACGATGAGATGGATGCTTTGAGTTTTTCTGCCGTCGGAATGTCTTCGGGTAACATCATTGCTCGACTCAATAGCAACAATGATGGAGGCACTTTTTCATTTAAGCTCAAATTAATCCATTCCCCCAGTTGTAATTTTAATTGTTCTTCGGAAATACCATATGCTCGCATGCCTAATAAAAACAAACAAAAAAATGTCAAAATAATTGTCGAATTCAGTGAAAAATTAAACGAAAATGATTTGTACCTCTTGCACGGCAAGCGGCCTGTAATTCCTGTGTTGTCAATGAATCAATGCTTTCCCGTTGAATCATCCGATCATCGGCAGCCAATGACCGTAATTTCATGCGAAGTTGAAACCGAAGAAAATTGCTCGTGCCGAGCGATCCCACTTCTAATACTTTACAAATGGCGGTCAATTGTTGTCGCGACAATGAGTCCAATGTAATTTCATCTTCGAACAGTTTTGAGAATTTGATGATCTCTTCCGATGTGGCTGCCGCACCCGATGACCGAACTTTGTTAAAGAATAGCACAAAATCTTTTGCCTCTTCCGATTGATGTTCTTTGTGTTGTACATCCATTTCGTCGAGTGTTTTTTGCAAGAATTTTGCCATTTCAAGTTTAACTTTGAGTTGATTGCGTGCCTTAAGCTCACGTTCGCTGGCCGTTTCGAATGTTGATGGCAACATGCCCGGGAAAAATTTTATAAAAACTGGCAGTAAAAATTCCATAAATGGAACTATGATGAACACAGAAAATGGCACCAAACGAAACATATCGCCGGTGGTTCGAATCAACAGTCGATATTCACGACGTGTTAATGATTCACCGTGCAACAATTTACCGACCAATTTTCGTGCAACATTCATGTCAATGAATAACAATCGAAATCCATGATAATAATGAACCAATTCGTCCCATATACGTTGTTTGAGACTTTTCTTTACGACTTTTGGTGCAACCGCTGTGGCCGTTACGGTGGCAGCGGCCGTGCTTGCTGCCGAAGTGGTCGCTTCACCGACCTCAATTTGTGTGGATGTTGCAGCTGCCTCTTTACTTTTCTGCTCTTTATCTTCGCGCTCTTTTTCCTGTAGCTTTCGTACCGTTTCTTCGACCTTTGACGATGCCTGTGATTCCCTGAGCGTTGAACTCAACGAAAATGCGCGTATCGTGTATGTAGATTGCAAATCTCTGTGATGCCATAATTTATTATTCACTACGGAAGATGGTGGCAATACTAGAGGAGTGACCAACGATCGATGATTCACTGTACTCGAATACTGACGAATGATGTGCGAATGTTTATTATTCAATGCTGTAAATATTGACAGTATTTTTTTATCTGGTTAGTTATTTTTTTGTTTTTGATGTCAGCACAAAAAAAAAGAGAGAAATTTGTTCGTATATCTAGCGAAGAAACAAGATCACAGACAAAATAAGAACGAAATTGTTGCCAAAATTTGGAATTGCGCAACATACACGGGAACCGCAACAAAAAAAAGTCATCGGTTAATATAATCATAGTCGAGTATGCCATGCGTTGATCATATGTTTCGGTATTGAGTCGCGTGTGAGAGACGAACGCGTTCGTGTGTCACACTCGCACACATCCAAAATTATCAACGGGCAAAATAGGTATTTGAAAATTTTCCACTTCGTAAACGAACTAACATCGCAAAATAAATGTAAATTGTTGTTCTTTCAATTCATTTTTTTTTCTGTTCATATAGAAATGAATGAAATTGTGTTTTTGACCAATTTCAAGAATAAATGTCGGCCGATTAATTTGCCTTGAATGTTTATTTTTGATTGCGATGCATGCACGGACTTTGATCATGCATGAATTTATGAATTTATAATCGGGAAAAATCCGTAATTTTTTGTTTTGATTTCGTTCTTCGTTGTCAATTTATACTTACATCGGTACATGTGATGTAAACCGTCGTTGTTCGCTTTATTGACATTGAAGCGGCTAAATTTTGTAATCAATTGCCGGCAACCCGTTGATATCAATAGTGAATTCATATTGCAAATCTAAGTAGTTATTACTGGCGTCGTATTACGAAGTTATAGATGCGGGAACGAAGAGGATTTATTTTGCTTCTTTTTTAATTTATATCACGTTTCGATTCTTCTTATTCAGCTAACAAAAAAATAGGTTCTAGAAGAATAAAAAGAAATACCAAGAGAGAAAAAGTTGAAATTATCAATATCACACAATGTCAATCGAATGGCAAGTGACCACAATGATATTTGTTTATTTATTCCAATCGTAAGAACCTCGTTCGCACTATCACACACGCACACACACACACAGTCACGTATACGCACCGGTTTTCTTCGAAACTACGAGAAATGTCAATGAATTTAAATCACTTCTGAGAGCACTGAGATATATATATATAAAAATCTCTCAATATAAAACCGATAGAATCTCCATAAAAACAGCAAAACAATGAAAAATGTTCATGAAAAAAATTGCAATGATCTTGAGAAATGTTTTGCGTTCTGTAAATTCAAACTACGGTTAAATGTCATCATCACCTGTTTGTGCACTAATTGATCACGCGGGCAAGAATTAATACATAGCCACGAAAAGTGTCAATAGAATTCGAAACAAAATTCAACGTACACAACAATGATGAAATGAATAGAAAATAGGCTAGATGTGGAAACCTTGTCAACACACATAGACACCGAGTCAGAGAGAACGAGAGGAAAAACACTCGAACCATATCATATTTCAAGCATGCAACGCACAAATTCGGCTGAAGGGCAAGATTCTTTTTGCATACATCCAAACGCACTCACTCACACACATACTGGCCACATTTTCCCGCATTCAAAATCATAAATCACAATCGGAAAAACACCACACCACAGAACAATCACATTTTATATTCAAAATAAAACTTTCGAAACGATGACAATTATCGATTTGCACCGTGTAAATTGAACGATCACACAAAAATCAATAACTTAAAAACAAATCTAATACACAAATTAAAAGATCATTGAAATTTTTCTTTTCACCTAAGTAACAAAATTGGAGCCGTACTGTGCCCATGACCAAGTCAATTCTAATGTGTGACACACAAAAAAAATATATATATACTCTACTGCCGATTTAGTTCTTACATTCACACACCATCACAATTTACACAAAAGAAATCATAAACTCTTTCACTATCGCCATTTCATTCGGACAGACATTAAATTTCGTACCTCATTTGAATTCGGCGATTATTCACACTCTTCGTGTATTTTCTTCCTTTTTGCGCGCTTCACAATCACACCATTTTTTACATCATCCAAACCAAATTCAATCAACTCACACGATGCGGATGTATTGGTTACGTAAACATCATGGTTTTGTGTTTTCTTGACTGTCAATAAACAAGTGTCAAAGTCATGCACACACGCATTCTCACTTACATCAAACGTAGCTCATTCATTAATCATTTAGAATTTTCTAAGCGATACAAAAAATGTTTTTTCCTATCTTTTTTAAAATGTTTAAAATTTTAATGATTTTATTATTTTTCAATAAAGAAAAATAATGAATGGACTGCATTACCATTTTTTTCTGCGGTCGGTATTGAAAATCCAACTGAATGAGAGCTTAGAATAAAAAACCATGTGAACCTCACAATATTTTTTTCAACTTTTTTACCAATGAAAAAAAAAATGGGCATTTCGTTTTGGTCATTTTCTATATAGAACGTTTGAATTTTGATGATCTTCTTTTTCTTCGTAGAACCGATTCGATGGATTATCTAGTTTGAATGTTGACATTTCAATTAGTACAATTCGGCATCTGTCAAACAACACCACCACGATTCGGCTTTCTGTATAAAACACGGTTTCATCGAACAACAACAATACAATCTGCGGCCAAATAAAATAGCCAAAAGAAAAACTCGCCAGAAAAACGACGGAAACAATTCAAACTGTGTTCGAATAAGCAAGCCTTCGTTTTGCCCGACCAAAAGTTGAACAAATGAAAGTAAAGCCCATTTTTCAAATCTGAAGACTGACTTAATCAGGTTTGTTTTGTGATACATTGTATAAATGCAAATATTTAATTTCTTTCTTATATTTTCGCTCCATAGAAATCAGTTACACATCAGCCATCCGTATCATCACGAAGAAAACAAAAGTCGGTCGCACATTAAATTGAGATTCCATTTTTACTTGCATCAGACGAAACACAAAACCATACACACAAAAAGAAGATATTAAAAATGGATGATTTGAACCCGTTAGCAGGCACCGCTCATTTGCTCGAAGAAGTTGACAGTAAGTTGCTTCTAATTGGGTTGAAATTGCTCGTAGAAAAACCAATTTCGATTAAAAACCTACCTATTTCACATCATGCATGACAATTCACCTCTACTCTCTTGTTGATTTCAGAAAAATTAATGGTATTACTTCGTGACGGTCGAACGTTGATCGGATACTTACGGTCGGTGGATCAATTTGCAAATTTGGTGTTGCACAAAACCATAGAACGAATTCATGTCGGTACTGAATATGGTGACATCGAACGGGGCATCTTTATCATTCGCGGTGAAAATGTTGTATTGCTAGGTGAAATCGATCGTGATAAGGAAAAGAATTTACCACTCAAAGAGGTGTCTGTTGAAGATATTTTGGATTCACAACGACGAGAGCAAGAGCAACGCTACGAAAAACATCGTCTTATCTCAAAAGCTTTGAAAGAACGTGGATTAAATGTTAACACCGAGCTAACACACGAAGAATATTGAATTGTTCTCTCGAGCTCCCATACCATTTCAATTGATGACACTCAAACACACACACACACATATATTTTCATTAATTTAAAAGACCTTGCTTGTCAATCCACACAAAAAGTCACTTTGCTCCACGATATTCGTGATATTCATGTGAAGATTTACAAAAGACAACCGAAGCAATGACTTTTACATAAAACTTTTTCTTTATTCAATCATATAATTAATAGGGACGTCGATTGTGAGACGATAAATTCTTTTTTCTATTAAATAAAACAAAAATTTGATGTAAATAAAATTCTTAAATTATATTATTCAAAATTTATGAAAGAAACGGTTTTGATTTATAATTTAAAGGTGACCCACACCGCCAAGCAAGACAATTTGGAGACATTTTTCTTTTGTATACACATAAATTAGATTCATCACAAAATCTCTGCGGTCATTCGAAAACCTACCAAAATTGAATGAAAAAATAAACGATTTGATAATATTTTATCGCCTGAGGTGAAACAGAACAAAATACACCGAAAAAAAGAACAAAAAAGAAAACATGTTTCTATGCCCACTTATCTTGTTCTTTTATTTTAAAACGAACATTTTGAGTGCATTTTTAAAATGTTGAATGTTATTAGATTAAAATTGAGGAAAAAACCAATCGAACATTTTTACTAGATTTATTCACTAAACGCAAACCGGTTTAAGTTAGTCTGTAAAAAACAGAATTATCTCATTTTAATTAAAATTTCATTGATCAACAATGAAGTTTCCTTCTAGAAGCAATTTGAATTTGGATTTTCGAAATTTTCATTTATATGCAAAACAGTTGCAATGTCATTTGTTGAAGAAACATTTTCTCATTTTATTTGAAAATATTTTGGTTAAATATCCGTTCACCGAAAGTCAGTCTAAAACATTCTCTTTAGCCATGTCGTTAAATACCACAATGTCGATAATGTTGAATGGATTTTATTTTATTGTTCAAAGAACAAGTCTAGACAATTTTTTTTGTATCTTAAAATTGATTTTGTAATTGAAAAAATTCTTACAAAAATGTCCAAAAACTTGTTTGAAAAAAATTTGTGCTGAATTTGTTGGGCTTGTGAATTTAGGGCAAATTTTGTGGTTCAACTAATCTTTTTTACCTGTAAAAAATTGAGCGACAAAAATTCAGAATTCAATTTCTTTACTCGAAGTTTCTTTTTTGAACTTCTCCAAAATGATTTTTTTAAAAGCACGTTGAATGAAATGACCTTGAATTGCAAATTTTCTTTGGAAGAACTTTTTTCTCCCTTTTTCTACCGAGTTTATTGAAGTAGACTTTTTTTGTAAATATGAGTACGTGAAATATGAGTAAAAAAAAGCGTCGTATTGAATTCCAAAGCACATATGAGACACTTTATGAAGTGCAAATTTGCCGCAATTTACCATATTGTTTGCCATAGTACATATCGCTAAATCGGTTTTCTTTTGTTTAATTTATGCGATCCTCTTTATTTATACACATCGATGGTCAATTCAAGCATATTTTATAACTAATAAACATAACTAAATAGATTGTATATGTTTTTTCTCTCTTCGTTTTTGACACAAATCATCTCATTTAGTTTATCAATGCCATATATCAAAGTAACTTGTAATTTTATAAATTGAAAATAAATGGTTTTCGTGTTTCAATTCGCCATAAATATAATTACAATGAATGTAAAAGTAACGGTTCGTTCATTCCAATTGGGTTATGGAGCAGAAGACGAAGAAAAAACCACACACACACACACACACACACACACTGATTATGCAAATGAATCGAGAGTACATGTGCTTGTTTGCATGGTGTGCAAGAAGTGAGAATATTTTGGCAACAGTTGCTGAAAGTAACATTTGGCCTCTGTGTGTTACCAATTACCTTTTTTTTATATTGTTGCTTCAAAGTTCGATATCTCACTTACTTAATCACACTCTGCTCATCTCTCTCGCTCACACTCCTTGCGTGAGTGACTCTCTCTCTTACTTCGAACTGAATCGTGCTTGAATATTTATCAGATTGTTACGATACACACAAAAAAACATTCGTTTTGAATTTATGAATGCAAACTGGCTCTTTATTCTATTGATAGATATCTAATACGGATGCAAAAATCACGTTAAATCCAAATGCGATGCGATTTTTTTTGGACGGAATCTGTTTTTGTATATCCGATTTATCATTTTTGCTATCAGATTTGGGTATATTTTTCTGTTTCTTTTTCTGATGGCGATCAAGTGTCTTAGAAGTAAAATATTAAATGCTTTTTTTTAGTTCTTCTTCCTTCAAATGTCTCTTGCTTGTTAAAAAAAGGAATGGCATGAAGAGAATTGATTGCATAGAATATATATATTTATACGACCTTAATGAATAATGTCGCTTGATGCAAAACACCTTTTTCTTTTGTTTTTCGCTTCAGCATAAAAATTGTGCAAGTTTTTTTTTTTTGTTTGTTTGGTTTCGTCGTCATCACCGTCGCTGTTGCAGGTTATTGTTGTCGCACTGTTGATTGCCGGCTATTTCAGATGATGATTTGCAATCGTGTAGCTACCTAATGAATGATCGTTTGACCATGCATTATATCATCGGGACGGGTTTTATTCTCTCCATTTCGATTGCTACTTTTTGTTTCACACACGAATATCATGAAAAACAGAGAGCGGGAGAGAAAAAAATTGTCAGACACAACACTGACATGATATTCTTACCTTTCCGACAGTCTCGGGTCACGGCATTTTTCTTGCGAATCTGTCGCGTATATAAGCACAATCTCCGTTCGAGTCAGACATTAGTTTTGTGTTGTCCGTTTAACTAAAAGGAAATCATGAAGGTATATATCTCAGTTACTTCAAAACAATATAAATTTTCCTTTGAAAATTGAAATTTTATCTGTGTGCCGTGCGCAACATAAACAATTTTTGGTGTGGTGTTTTATTAATTTTATTGTGATCTATACAGGCTTTTGTTGTGTGTATGGTAATGGTTGCCGTTGCTGAGGCCGGTTTCCTCTTCGGCGGTAGCAGTGGTGGCGGCGGCGGCTACTCAGGCGGTGAGTGCATTTTTTCGTTTATCTTTTTTTCATATTTTCGAGTACTTTTCAAATGTGATGATAATTACGATAGAAAATAGAACCATTGACATCGATTTGATTTGAATTGAACAGTTGGACACATATTATTATATTTTGTCACAGATACATCAATTAATTATTTGATCAAATCATTTGTCGTATAAAAAACAACAACAACAAACATTGACGCTTAACATTGACCGAGAAGAAGACACCAATTATAACACCTTGAATGAATTTGTATCCAAAACAACGGAACACCATTCACTTCGATAAATCTTCTGATATTATATAAGGTCTTTGTTTTTGCTCGTCTCCTTCGCTTCTGCTAGATTTAGTTTATTCATCTGTTTACTAAACAACGTTTGCTTGAAAAATAGCAATTCTTCCATTTGTTTTGCCTGGATCAACTGAGAGTAATCAATTCAATTTAATGTGCTCCATTTATCAACAAGCTGACAAAACATAGAAAAAAGAAAAGAAGACGAAAAAACGATTATTATTTTTTTTGAAGATTCCAGTTTAAAATGATTTTCATTTTGATTTTTCAGGCGGTGGAGGATGGAACAACGGCGGCGGCTACTCAGGTGGTGGTGGTCACGGAGGTGGAGGAGCTCAAGTCATTAAGGTATTCCCGATTTGATTTGAAGCTCATTTTGATATTCAAATTTCTTCTACAATGCTAATTCCATGCAATAATTGAGTCGACGTAGTCTCTTTTACCAAAATCAACTGCTAGTATATGAAATTAGTGTCGCAAAGAAATATAAAGTGTTAAACAATATTTCGGTCGGTTGAATGACATTTCGAATACAAATTGACTGTGAATTGAACTTTAATTAAATGTATCGCATATATGCAATGTCTGAACGTTGAATGCATGCGTTGTGTACGATTACTTAATTTTTGCGGCCTGTAATTTTGAATGAAATTTGCCACTACTGTTACCAGTGTACAACAACTATTCCTTTTTCTTTAAAGGTCATTCATCAAGGCGGCGGTGGCGGCGGTGGCTATAGCGGCGGTGGTAAGTGCTTTCATTGCTTTTTTTTTCTGCTTGAATTTAAAGTGAGTGTTTGAATTTAAATGCATTCGCATGTTGCGTTCTCGTTTTAATATAACGTCATATCATTAAGCGATGAATATGAATAGTCCATTGTTTTCGCATTTTACTTCATATTGATTAATTAAATATGGATATTGCCAAAGGCTCACAATCACAATGTTTTATCAAAACGTGCTGTGCAATTCTTTCGGTCATTCGCATTACGTAATTCATTTTATTGACGACGAAGTAAAAGTTGATTCATAAAAAGGTGTTAACGGAAAAGATGCATGCTGTTGCGTCTTGAATCAATCAAGAAGACATTTAATCGTGGTTGTTAATATTATCATTTGATTTTCTCGTCATCCCAGATGATATGCAAAAAATGATGAATTTTTTTCTCGATATCAAATAGAACATTCTAATGACTCACTTGGCACTCTAATGATCTTCTCACATAACAACCGTTCAATGCAGAATATATGATAAAAACATGTTTATTGTGTGTTGATCGATTCAAATTCAATTTATGGAACGCATTTCATGAGAGAATAGATAGAACTAGACTATGCAAATGAGTTGTTTTAACTTCATATAAGAGATATTCATGTGTTTGATTTTCAATACAGGTGGACACGGCGGTGGCTGGCAATCGGGCGGTGGATACAGCGGCGGCGGTAAATTTAAAAAATCCATCTTTTTAGTATGCACAACAGTTTAGAAAATAAAAAAACGGCACTCTCAAACGATTCATATTTCAACACTCTATAAAAACATTTGATGTATTTTAATGACACAAAAGCAAACTGAATGAATCGTTTTTGATTGTAGCATTGTATTCTAACATAAGAAGAAGAAGAAAAAGATCGTGTTCCGTCAAAATCAAAGCAAATCTGTTTTGATTCCGGTCCGTGTATGACATCATATGTTGTTGCCGTCTGTTGTGTGAATCTGACTATCGATATGAATTCAAATCTAATATTTGACTTTTTTTCTCATTTTTAGGCGGTCACAGCCAACCTGGTAAGATTTTTTTTCAATTCATAAATCGTTTTATTCATAAAAGTCTATTTCTCTAAAAAAACTCAAGTGAAATATTAAAACTTCGAAACTTATTTCGAGTTTTCAATGTTAAGCGAACTCAGACTTACGTCACTCATTTTTCATTTCAAGTGTTTCAACTCAGAATATCGTAATTATTTGGAAAAAGATAATAAATTAAACAAAATATATACACACTCATAATCCGAACCGATTATTCATGGCACATTGAAAGTGCTGCGTTTCACTTTTTTTAATGTTCTTTCCATGTCTCACTGTGTGTGTATATGTAACTTAACTAAACACTGTATGTCGCCAATGAGAGGAAAAAAAGTGCGCATTTTTTGTCTCACATTTTTTTTTTCTCTCGCCTCTGCCCAAGCACCACAAAAAGACATAAAATTTGAAATTTTATGTGTTTTCGCTTGGAAACGTGTCAAATGAAAAATACCGAGAATAAGCCCAAATAGATTATCGCTTGTTTCGACTTTTGAAAAATAGAATTCACTTTGGAGTAATTGATTTCATTCGGAACTAGCTGTTATGAAAATGTTATGGAATGAATGCTTTTCTTAAAATATTTTCAGCTCAAGTCATTAAAGTAATCAAAGTATCGTCTGGCGGACACGGCGGTGGTGGACACGGCGGCGGCTGGCAATCGGGCGGCGGTGGTTACTCAGGTGGTGGTGGATGGCAATCAGGCGGCGGTGGATATTCAGGTACAGATTTACCAGCATCGTAATGTTACTAACCATTAACATAAACGTCTGTAATAGTTAACCCTCCATTGTACACATAGGTCTGGCCAGACCTTTTTTGATATTTATTGTAATTTAAATATATTTTTAAATAAGCTAGCGACTTGAAATTCTGTGTAGCTTCCTAAAATTTTATTGGCTACCAATCTATGAAAAAAATCAGGACGAAAAAGGACACAAGGATTTTTTATAAGGATGTGTTGGTGTAAAGTATTAGTAACACATGAGTCTGGCCAGACCCACTCACATTTTATATGAAAAATGATATAATTCGCATTCTCTTATGAGTAAACATCCGCGGATTGGCCACATTTATTATTTCAAAATGCTGCATGTGGTAGAGGAGTTCACGATATGACATTTGGGGCAAAAAAAAAAAATCCCAGATTGATATGGTGTTAGATATGATCCTGTTGGTATTGTTGTTTCTAGGTAAACCACATTTATATGCGAGAGTACCATGACCTATAATATAATATGAGATGAATTGAGACGACATGACCTGGAAGTGAATCTTGTGAGGTATGAGGATCCGACCTGGTCCAAAGTGTTCTGGAAGTCGAGTGCTCGAGGGATTTCATCCCCCATGGGGATGAGCAATTTCGTTATTTTTTCGGTTTTCCCATCGAAAATGCGAGAAAAATCGATTGGCAGTTTTTTATATAATATTCGAATATATTTATGTCATATTTCACCCAAATAATGGGGTCCTTGGACCTATCAAGGATCATATCTAACACCATATCAATCTGGGATTTTTTTTTTGCCCCAAATGTCATATCTCTACCACATGCAGCATTTTGAATTAAAAAACCTGGCCAATCCGCGGATGTTTACTCATAAGAGAATTAAATAATTTTTCATATAAAATGTATGTGGGTCTGGCCAGACTCATGTGTTACGAATGTGACTCGCCGGACATGTGTACAACGGAGGGTTAATAAAATTATAATAGCGATTAATGTAATGCTAACATCTAACATTTCAATTCCAATAGCTAATACCGGTAATATCTTGTTACAATAACAATGTGTTACCCGTATTGTTGATAATTTTACATTAATATTGAGACTTTTCAACACAACTTTTAGTTGAAAATATATTTACAATAGATGGCGTTTATGTCTGCTCTAAGCTCATCATTGAAATTGATTGGGTTGATGAGCAATTTCAATGATGAGCTTAGAGCGGACACAGACGCCATCTATTGTAAATATATTTTCAACTTAAATTTGTGTTGAAAAGTCTCAATATTAATGTTAGATTTTTGACATTAGCGGCAGCGTTGAGTAACACATTATTATTGTATCGAAGCATTGCCAGTAAGGTTATAAGAATAGCAATAGCTATTACTGGTAATGCTAAAATCTAAAATTACAATTGTAATGACGTTACTGTAATGCTTCGTTACAATTGTAATGTGTTACTGCAAAATGTAAATCTGTATATTCAGGTGGACACGGAGGTGGACACGGAGGTGGACATAGCAAAACCTATAAAGTTTATAGTATTCCAATTTCATCTGGTCATGGAGGTTTGTAATAACATTCGATTAATCAAATCAAAATCAACACTGTACTTGTTCAAGTAAAAATGTATACGTCGATTTCAACACAGGTTATTCAGGCGGTGGCGGCCACGGTGGATGGTCCGGTTCGTCATGGTAAAGAGACAAACGCCCGCTTTAAATAAACAACCAACTAATTTGTACAAATTCATTTGAAAATAAAGCGAATGATTTGAACCGAAATTCCAAATATATAGCGTGTATTTTAATTGAAAGTGATTTTATTTCATTGGAAAAGGCTGTACAAATGCATGTCTGATAATTAGCAACGAACGGGAAATTATTTCATTGGTTTGGTATGTGCATTAAAAAAGAAATCGAACGCAGAAAAAACCAAAGAAATAAATGTAAGAAAACTCTTACGGTTTGCGTTCAAACAATAACAAATTCTTTTTAAATCAATGCCACCTTTAAAGTGTTCGAAAAGAGGCCAATTTACATGCATTGCTTCTTGCTACATTTCCATTCGAATATATTCGCTCATTGAATTTGAAAGTGCCGTGTGCAATTTCTAATTATACGTTTTCATACAAAAGACACACACACACACAAAAAAAAAACAAATTCCATTCGCATGTATTTTATTGTCTGGAAATCTCAAGTTGGAACAACATATGAGACCATGGAAATGAAATGGAAAATGAACCGCATTCTGTATGGGAATGAACGTTCATTGTATATGTGATCGTATTCCCCGCACCCGCATAGTATCGCGATTCCTTACAGAATCAAGCGGTGGCCGCAAACGTTTGCTCATTTCCCGTATTCGCTTAGAAGTATGCGACTGCGAGAGAAGACTGGAATGGCGAAGAACCGACGTCTGGATAAAACGGCAGTCGTTTACTTGTATTTGTGCGATAAAATGCGGCGAACACGATCATATACATAGTAGGGTGGAACATTTTTGGCACAATTTGGTGGCCACTTGAGAAAACATGTCTTATAGTCCCCAGATTCAAGATATGAAGGAATTTTCAACTTGCGGTTCCATATGAGACAGCGACTGGAAAGGAAAGGAGGTACATTTTACTGGAAAACCATGAAAAATTGCAGTGACCCAATCACCATGAAAACTTGTGAATCTTATTTTCTGACCAAAATTAGTAATATCACCAAGTTTCATGAAATTTTAACCAAAAATAAAGGTGCCTCCCATACAAAATTTTCAATTTTTTGTTTTTGAGAAAAACATAAATTTTTGGAATTAAACAAATAAATTTTTAAATGGGAGGCACCTTTATTTTTGGTTGAAATTTCATGAAACTTGGTGATATTACTTATTTTGGTCAGAAAATAAGATTCACAAGTTTTCATGGTGAATGGGTCAGTGCAATTTTTCATGATTTTCCAGTAAAATGTACCTCCTTTCCTTTCAAGTCGCTGTCTTATATGGAACGGCAAGTTGAAAATTCCCTCATATCTTGAATCTGGGGACTATAAGACATGTTTTCTCAACTGGCCATCAAGATATGCCTCCAAATTCAAAAAAATGTTCCACCCTAATACATAGTGAAGGGGAATACGAACAGCAGCGACGCATATGAATGCTCCGCCTTCGCCTTTTCACTGGAATGCGTTTTGTTGGGATTGGTGTTGTATCGTAGATTAAGTGTGTTTCGATAATTTAAAATGAGATTTTGACATGTAAATTCATAAAGATTATAATAATTTACGGTCCAGAGAAGTGTCGAACATTTTTGCGCTCTTTTCTTACCTATCGTACACAGATTATTCGAATATGACACATCTACATCGAAGCAAAGCATGCATTGAAACAACAAGATAAATGAAAAACGAAAAAAGAAACCACAAACTTATCGCTCTAGTGATATTTTCCTTTAAAAATCGTACATGAAAATGGTTTTTTTGATCAAACATAGAAAAAATCACTTTTTATATTAAACACATTGAACACTCATGAGATTAGTGTTTAAAATGAATCATTTCCATCATTACCGAGGTTTATTTTATTTCCATACAATATTTAGTGGTAGTGTCCTTTTTTTCGCTAGTGGTGCGCAAATTCGAAAAACTCACAAAAATTCTATGATATTTCGACAATTACAAGAAAGTGAATTTAAAAAAAAAGCTGCTTCTTCCAACCAAACTCCGAATATACAGATTACATTTTAAATTAGTTGCCTTGAAAATCTAATAATTCAATGTTAAACCATTTGTCAAATAAACTGACTCATCAATAGAAAACAGGCACTTTTAATCATCAACAAATTCCAAATGAATGAATCGTCAATTGATTCCGTCAGATAATGTAATAGGAAGAGTTCCCACCTGGAAACAAATAGAGCCATTAATAAAATCATTCATAAAAATCGATGGACGATAGCTAATAAAATTTCGACATAAAATATTATTAGTTGTGATGTGAATAAGATTGATTGTATTGTTGACATTTTTATTCCAAACTTTTCTATTGATATTTGTTATTCAATTCTGTATATAGTTAGCTCGAGCTGAGGTTCAGAATAAAGAAAAACATCATAAACCGGATTTAATTATTAAACCAAACCTTTTTCCAACAATGTCATCTAACAAATAAAGAAGGCTACCAATATGATCTAGAATGCCAGTCAATGTTAAAAAGAAAATCTTTGTTCAGAAAGACATATTCTGCGAAGGGATTTCGGATACTATATCAATTAATTCAAAAGAAAACACTACAGAACATGAATAATGGGAGTTATTTGTTGATAATATCGTATATTTAAAAAAAATAAAACTTAACTTAAACTCAGCATGAAAAACGTCACCTAATCAAATGATTAAATACAGTATATTTAAATTTGCTGCGAGAAATTGCATTTATTATTATCGCAGTAAAATGAAAAGGTGTAAATCATGAGTGTTGACGGGATCACTTTTTTAAACTTTATTTTTATATAAAAACAATTTTATTTCTGTGTCAAAAAATATCCCAAAATAGTCGATTTAGTTTTTTCGACTTGCAGTCGTTTCAAATCGATTGGAAATGGAACAAAAATGAAGAAAATCCACTCGACTCAAGTCACTTTAAGTTGATTTAAATTATATTTGACTTAAAACGACTTAATGCGACTGAATTCAACTGTATTTTTCTTTTCATTTTTGTTCCATTTCCAGTCGACTGCAAGTCAAAAAGTTGACTGGTACCAGTTGATTGAAATCGGTTGGATTTCATACAAATTCCGAAAATCATTATCTATTTGAAATTGAAACATTTTTTTCTTCGCATAAAAATAAATGAAAATAAGAATGTCAATAATTCATGATTGATCTGGTGAATCAAACACCTTATCTCCAAATGTATCCTCAACATTCAAAACTGTAGCAATGGGGGTACCTTCGGTTTCCTTAACCAGATAGTCAACAACTCCATCTGGTACACTGTAAACGACTTTCACCCCGGTAAAAATATCGTGAGGGTTTGGTTTCGAAATGACCATCTGGATTGGTATGATTACCATGAAAGCGATGATAAGTATTTTCATTTTTTTTTCGTCTTAAAAACTGTTTTGGTATTATTACTCGATTTGATGCGATCCAACCGATTCAAAATCAACCAGATAACTTGTATTCTCTCTGGAAAACATCACGCTTTTTATTCAATTTTGGCGTCGATCATAGCTGCACATTTACTGTCTCATTGTTTTAAAGTCGCTGCCAATGTGTTCTACAGATATGCAAAAAAATGTTGTTTACCACCAGTTAAGTAAAGAGTGACTTGGCTTTCAGCAAATTTTATCTGGTTGTTAAATAAAATGTGTTCAGTCAATGTCAATGCAAATACAGTTGCACACATTTTTGGCGCCTGCACCAATATGAGGTCAATAGACACGCTTTAAATGCGTTATCTTGTCCTATTAACCTTGAAAAAAAAAATTTTTTTATTCTGACTGAAAATTGACGTCAATTTTATATTCAGTACTTTTAAGGCGTAAAGAACTATAATCATATTCAAATACCGTTATTTTCAACCGTCTTCATAAATTGGCGAACCGTTGAATTGAATCGGCGCTCTCAAGACATTTATAAGATTTATCTTATTGTATAAACGTTCAAAAATGGGACCGAGCTACATTCGAATCGATGTAAATGTTTTTTTTCTCTTCTGATTACGTTTAAATAATTTATTAATATTCAATATTTGGGCGTAAAATGGAAGCATTAGAAAAACCGTCGTGCTTTTTCTATTGGATTGTTTTGAGACAAACAATTTTATGTAGCATTTGTCTTATTTATTCAAAGTCACATTGACAAATTGTACAGAATTTTTCTTATATCACATCGAAAATGTCCATTCAATTTTACATCGAAATTTATTAATTGAATTGAAAATGAAATTTTTTCGGTAGGTTGATTGTGTTCCCAACCCAAATGCAAATACAGTTGTAAAAATATTGTTTAGTCATAAAAGCGGCGTAAAAATATATGTCAGGCGTGTTTTAAATGATAATTTAGGAACTAATGTGATGAAACTGACAGATAAATGAGCTTGTTGCTAAACAAAAAAGCGGAGTCGGTTGGTGTTTACTTTTTCTGTTTGAATGCTTTTTTTGTTGACTACGCAATTTTGTCTTCATTGCGTTTTGTCTTTCTAGCTAAATATTCATGAAAGAAACACGACGTTTTTTGGTTCTATGTGGCGATCATTATTCACGCACAGAAATTGGTTTTAATGACAGAATGCACTTCGTAATAATATCAAATTTCATCTATTTGCGCCGTTTCAGCCAAAATATATGCTTTATGAACATTTTAAAATAAAATCAATTATACACGAATCGTTGAGGCGGAAAAATACCTCGAAATTTGATTCGAATGAAGAGAAACTATACTGGAATGTGACGTATTCTTACATGGATTTGTAACTGCGACAACAAGTTACAAATGAAAGAATTGGAGAATAGTTTATTTGATTTACAAAGATAGAATTTCAGTTAAAAATAAAATGTCTTACATCCGTAAGATGAACTTTTCCGCACTGTGATCCACGACATGCATTTATTACAAATCTTTTACTCAAATAATTCACGAGAAAACTAAATCTGACATTAGTTTTAGATAAAAATAATTTTCGAAGCACTTTTCTTACAAAAACTACTAAAGATGGGAATTTTTGTATCGGAGCCATGCCTATATGACATCGTAATCATGTGAAAATTTGCAGAGGTTATTTTTTTCACAAAAAGTTAACATTCTGAAAGTTTGAAGAAATTTCAATGCATATTAAGGGTACTTCCCATACAAAATTTCGTTTTAGAGCGAAAAATCCAAAATTTTGTTCGGGAGGTGCCCCTCTAGGGGGAAAGAACAAGCCAAAAAGCTAAAAAAATACGA